TCATTTATTAATATAGAAGAAAATAACGTATATAAATAAACTCACCGTTTATTCAGCAAGTGGGGAATACAAAAAAATCTTCGAGCAAAATTGTGGGACTTGTAGAAAATATAATTGTATCTGTACGACAAGTCTCGCTCTCCGTAATTTTCTCCTCGCTCTCTTCCCAGCCTGTCCCTCCAAGCTTCCCGCTAATCTCCTGTTACTTCACTTTTCCTCCACCTCCTTTATTTTTCCACTGCGCCTTCCTTCTCTGTGTGTCCACCGGCGTTGGGTTTTTTTTTCTCCTTTTCTCCAGCAGGAGGAACATTCAGCACACTGGGAGAGAAAAATACTCAGCGGTCACTCAAAAGGCAAGATGGATCCATTGAGGTTTTAGGGGTGTTTTTAAAGTCATCTGCCGGTAAGTCAACAGCGGGTCTCGGTGAAGTGGGTTGTTTTCATTCAGACAAAGGGTAATGTATAGAAAGATGGTGACAGCTACGGTGTGGATGTGATAAAAGCTGACGAGACGTCGAGAGAAAAAACAGCGGGCTTCTATTTTCTGGCTCACCCCTCTGCTTTGACGCCACAGTGGTACAGCCCACCCTCACCGGGCTTGTGGAATAGAGCCGAGCATTCCCGCCTGGGCTCGAGCCAGCAGGTAAATAAACACACCTGCCCACGCAGAGAAAAGAAAGATAAACTTAACGAAGACCAATAATGAGCCCCACTCCCCAACCAAAGACGGTCTGGTGTCATTTAGGGATGGGGTCAGGGAAGGAGGTTCTGGTCACTCTGTGTGTTTGTGCCCCGGAGTATGCCACCCTCAAAGACTGGGCCATTTAAAAACATCCACGAAGCAGGGCTTTGACTTTTCACGAGTTTCCTTTGGTCAAAACAAAACTAACCACCAAAAACAGCTAAATTTTTAACAGCTAATTATTTGAAAAACTAATTTTCAAGCTACATTAATGGATACCTTCAGATTATAGTGGAGAACATGTCAAACTCATTTTATATAACGGGTCACATACAACTCACTTTAATCTTAAGTGGGCCAGACCTTGAAACTCCCCTTTCTGTAAAAGTTAACTACACATTAAATCCCTGATATCTCAATATAAGGAAGGAAAAAAGCAATTTCAACAATACGTCTCAGTTTTTCCAAATGATAAAAACATGCTGCTGTAGTTAATGAAATAAATCTTTCAGTATGACTCTTTGGGCTTAAATTGTAAAAAAAATGTGTGATATTGCATCACCCAAATGGTGATATAATTATAAAGTTTATGTAATAATATTTATGCTGTCCTTCATATTTTCTAAAGCCATCTAGTGGGCCGGAATGGAGTCCTCATTGGGCCGAATCTGGCTCCCCGGGCCTTGCGTTTAACACCCCTATACAGAAATAATTCTGAAATCATACTCTTAACTGGTTTTATTAAATCTCCAAAGAAGTTAATCAAAATTAGCAGCATTTAAAGACCCAACACTACAAACTTACACTACAAAATCAGTTTAATAGTTTAATCAGTGCAAAATCAAAATAGTAATAACAAATTACTTTTTAATTACAGTAATTTTAAAAATGCAGGTTTTACATGTAAGTGCCAGTGCATGGATGAGAGATTCAGCAAAGTGTAAGATCTTTAAATCACCCACTTTGCACAAATTATTGACAGTAATTTTGGTGAATTCTGTACTGATTCATAATAATA